AGAAACTTATAATCTTCCAAAACTCAATCAGGTAGAATCAGAAAATCTGAATAGACCAACAGAAACTAATAAAACTGAACCAGTAAAATACAAACAAACAAAAACTCCCAGCAAACAAAAGTCTTGGACTGGTTGGATTCACAGGGGATTTTTACCAAACATTCAAAGAAGAACACCTATCCCCCTCAAACTATTCCAAAAAATTCAAGAGTAAGGAACACTTCCAACCTCTTTTCATGAGGCCAGCATTATCCTAATTCCTAAACCAGATAAAGACACTACAAAGAAAGAAAATTTACAGGGCAATATCCCTGATGAACATGGACGCTAAAATCTTCAACAAAATATTAGCAAATTGCACCCAGCAATACACCATGACCACGTGAGGGATTTATTTTGGGGATGCAAGGCTAGTACAATATCAGCAAATCAATGTGTGATACGTTACATAAACAAAAGAAAAATACATATTACATGATCACACCTATAGACACAGAAAAAGTATTTGACAAAATCCAGCATCCATTTAAAATAAAAACTCTCAGCAAAGTGGGAATAGAAGAAACATACCTCAACATAATAAAGCCCATGTGTGACACACCTACAGCCAACATCATATTCAATGGGTGAAAACTAAAAGTGTTTCCCTTAAGATCAGGAACAGGATGTGATGCCCACTTGCACCACCGTAATCAACATAATGCTGGAAGTCCTAGCCACAGTAATCAGACAAGAAGTAAAAATAAAAAGCATCCAAATTGGAAAGGAAGAAGTAAAACTGTCATTATTCGCAAGTAACATGATATTGTACATAGACTCCACTCAAAACTACTAGACCTAACAAATGTATTCGGCAAAGTAGTAGGATACAAAATTAACATCCAGAATCTATTGCATTTTCAGACACGAATAATGAAGTCTCAGAAAGAGTTCATTTACTATTGCAACAACAGAAAATAAGATACTTAGGAATAAACTTAACCAGGAGGTAAAAGATCTGTACTCAAAAAACTATAGGACATTGAAAAAAGAAATACAGGAAGATACAAATGAGTGGAAGGATATACCGTGTTAAAGGATTGGAATAATTAGCATCATTAAAATGTCCACCCGAAGCAATCTATATATTTAACGCAATCCTTATTAAAATACCAATGGCATATTTTACAGATCTGGAACAAATATTCCAAAAATTTATATGGAACCTTCTTATATGGAACCAAAAAAGACCCTGAATAGCTGCAGTAACCTTGAAGAAGAAGAACAAAGTTGGAGATATCACAATACTGAATATCAAACTATACTACAAAACCATTGTAATCAAAAGAGTTTATACCCTTAATACTGAGCAAAATAGGCAGACACAGAAGAATATATGAAATATGTTTCCCATCAAGTGAAATTTGAAAGCCAGCAAAACTGCAGTGTTCAGGAACATATACTTAGGTGGTAAAATGAAACAGAGAGAGAGCCATATCGTAAAGTTCAGAAGATGGTTATAGAGATGAGAGACAGGGGGCAGTGGCGGGTGGGATTGGCAGCAATGTTTTGTTCATCACCCTGGGCGACAGTCACAGGTGTTAGAGAGAATTCATTGGATTGCACATTGTAGTTTATTGTACTTTTCTGTATGACTGATCTATAGCAAATAAAGAACATAGAACATGAGGCAAAATAATTTTTACATTTGTGAGCATGCATAAAAATAAACAGAAAACATATATTACATTTTGAGGGGACTTGAATGGTAATGGAGATTTCAGGAAAATAAGTAAATAAATAAAATAACAGAGAGAACTTGCAACAGATCTATGATGTTTATATTCCACAAGCAGAGGGTTAAAAATAACTAAGATTATGTCACGGAGGCCAATACTGAACAAACGAAAACTTAAATGTAATTTTAAGGAAAACTTAAAAATAATTCTGAGTATTTTGACATAGTTAAAAATTCAAAGCCTCCAGGGCTTCGGTGGCAATGATGTCTCAGTTCCCCTGCCTGAAGGCACACCCCACTCAGGTTTCCTGTGGGCCCTCCCGGGAGGCTTTAGTAGGGCTGAGAATGAAGTGAATGAGTGAGTCAGAGGAGTCTGGTGCTGGGGACAGAAAGGCCAGGCTGCAGCACCGGGGGGCAATGCACTGGCAGGGCCAGATCTGGGCTCAGCTGGGCATGCACCAAGAGGTCGCCGGTTCGATTCCCAGTCAGGTCACATGCCCAGGGTGTAGACCTGGTCCCCAGTGGGGGACATGCAGGAAGTGGCCAATCAATGTTTTTGTCTCCCTCTCTCTCTAACCTCCATAAAGAAAATAAATAAATAAATTGTGTACATTAAATAAATGGCCCAGGTCTCAGCTCAAAACAGCCAAGGTCAGCTGAGGTCCAGAGTCCACTGGGATAAATGAAAGAGTGGCTCAGGATAAACAGTAAATGTTTGAGAGACAGTTCCAAGCCACTGACCTGGATGTACAGTCCAAGTTGTCAAAGGACTTTTGGTTCAGGGATGGAAGATTTCCATAACCTTTCAGGAGATGGTGAGCGATAAAGGAGATGCTGGGTGTGACTTGGGTGTTAGTCACAATAGTTGTAAACACTGATGTCTCTGACAACAAACGGCTGTTCAAAGTTGGTTTCTGGTACCTGGGTTCATCACCTTCTCATTTCATAAACACCCAAAACTTACACAACTAGGCCTGCCATGGACCCTTTCCTCATACCTCACCGGATACTGTGGCTGATCCCTGGAGGAACACGAGGTCAGAGGTCAAAATCCCCGGTCCCCTGAACTGGAAACTATCCAAAAGGAAGATAAGAAAATGAAGAGTATGTAATATCTGAGGCAGAATTATAGAAAATTATATCACATGCATACAAAGAAATGCTATACAACAATAAACACAGTACAACATGGAGATAGTTTATAAATTCAATACTGAGCAAAATAAGGTAGACACAGAAAAATATATAGAATATGTTTCCCATCAAGTAAAACTTAAAAGCCAGCCAAACTGCAGTGTTCAAGAATATACACTTAGGTGGTAAAATGAAGCAGAGAGCGAGCCTTGTTATGACGTCCAGAGATGGTCGTAGAGAAGACAGGGGGCAGTGGCCGGTGGCAGGGGCAGTGGCCGGTGGCAGTGGCAGCAAGTTCTGTTCATCACCCTGGGCGACAGTCACAGGTGTTAGAGATAATTCATTGGATTATACATTGTAGTTCATTGTGCTTTTCTGACTGATTGACTTTAGTAAAAAAAGAACAAAGATGGAACATGAACCAAAATAATTGCTTATATTTGTGAGCATGCATAAAAATTAATTGAAAATATATATTGCTTTTTGGAGTGACTTGAACGGTAATGGAGATTTCAGGAATATAAGTAATAAATAAAATAACACAGAGTCCTTGCCACAGATCCATGATGTTTAGATTCAGGAAGCTGAGGATTTTAAATAGCTCAGACTCTGAAACTGGGGCCAAGATTGAACAAAGAAAACTTAATATAACAATTAAAAACTAATTATAAGTATTTTGACAATGTTCAACTTCAAAAGCTCCCCCAGGGCTTCGGTGGGACTGATGTCTCAGTTCCCCTGCCTGAAGGCACACCCCACTCAGGTTTCCTGTGGGCCCTCCCGGGAGGCTTTAGTGGGGCAGAGAATGAAGTGAATGAGTGAGTCAGAGGGCTCTGGTGTGGGGACAGGAAGGCCAGGCTGCAGCACGGGGGCCCAATGCACTGGCAGGGCCAGATCGGGGCTCAGCTGGGGGTCTGCTCCCAGATGCCCGATGCCTGACCCCTCCGCTCAATCTGTGGGAGGATGTTCCGAGGGGAGCAGAGAACAGGAACAAGATCTTATCAGTGAGTCAGCAGGGCAGTTCCCCAGAGGCCCCCTGGCCTCATCCTACCCGGCAAGCTCCTGGTTCCTGCACCTGAATGACATTTTCCACAGCAAGTTGGGACACAGCAGACCCCAGGGCATGGCCACTGACTCCTAAGCAACCTGTTTTGCATAGAGGAAGAAGGAACATCCCTGAGTAACTTACAAGAAGTCATCATCATGGGTGTGGAGGCAACTTTGCCCAACCACCTGTGGCTCACTACATGGCGGTCACCATCCCTGAGTCTAGAGTGGTTGTCATGGTGGGCCCAGGCGGCCCCTGGAGCTGCAAAGTGAAGTCAAGACTGTGGGCTGAAGTCAGGTCTCGGCGCCCTGAGCTGCTGTCCCCCTCACCTGCAGGTGACCTGCTGAGCCCCGACTCTCTCTGTGCTCCCTGGTCTGTCACCTCCCTGCTTCTTAGCGCTCCAGTGGGACCCACTGTGAAGATGGGAGTGAGGGGACCCTGCCTCCCTCCCCAAGGCCCAGGCCCTGCAGTGACCCCAGGTGTTTACTAGTGGGGTTGGGAGTGAGGTTTTGAATCAGGCTTTTCAGGGATCATATCTTGACCTTACTTTCCATTAGCCTCGGACACATGGGAACTTCTTACCTCGTAATCCCTCAATTCCCTGTCCCCCACGTGAGGCTAACAGCACTGTCTCATAAGGTTCTGAGGTTTGGCAGGAGTGTCAGTACGGCGGGTATGGAGAGCCTGGCACAGGTAAGGACTTACTAATGGCTGAGAGAGTTTTATTCGATGTCAGAACAAACTCGTGGATGGACTGGGTGATGAATGAACACAGATCATCCTGCCCCATCCTCTTTATGTTCAGAAACTCAGTTTTCTCTTCCAAAGGGCCTGTTTTGTTATGACACACCACACTGTGCCCCACAACCCAGCCCCAGATGAACCTAGGGACAGAAGAAGGCTCTAGGTGCTGTCCCTTGAGAGTCACCTGGGATCTCACAGGGAAGTGCTGAGCACACACTCATAGGTGTGTCCCACCCACCTGAGTGCCACAATGTTCCAGGAAGCAGACAGAAACATGGCCTCAGGGCTCCAAGCCCTGGGAGGAGCCAGGCTGAGCCTTATAAAGGGACCAGGCTTTGCCTAGATGCACACACAGCACACGCATCCTTCTCAGTGACACTTCGTCAGCTCCGGTGAGTCTGCCCCTGACCCTTGGCCAGGAAGGGTGCTCAGGGCCAGCGTGTTCTGTGTCTGCAGGAGCAGGGAACCCGTGGTGGGAGAGGATGCAGGAGCCTGGGTGCAGATTAGTGGGGCTCAGCCTGTAATGGGGCTGTGACTTCACCCCACTGAGGTCCTGAGGTCCTCATCTGCTACAGGATGTCTGGACGGATGCTCCCCATTGCGCCTCTGTCTCCGCTGTGTCTACTCTGTGGAAACATCCCTGGTGGGAGCTGAGTTCACGACCCTCCTCTGCTCCTTGTCTTCTTAGATCTGGACTCACCGACTCAGGCCCTGGGTTGGTGAACACCCACTGTGCACCCCAGGCTTGGGGAGAGTGGGGGTCCCTACCCAAATCTTAAAGGTTCTCCTAAACCCAGGCCTGGGATGCCCGCTCCCCGTGCTCTGTGGGGAGACCTGCCCTGCGTGGATCGGGGACGCGCCGCCCAAAGGTTTCAGTCCCCCCGAGCTGAGGGAATGACGCTGATATTCTGCGCACAGGGCTCAGCTCTGGCCTTGGCCAGTGGACAGAGGCCTTGCGTGGTTCCACTTAGCGGCATGACAGCAAGGACCTTTCTCCCAGATCAGGAGCAATGGTAGCTTGTGTTAGATGCCCACACGTGTGAGCCTTGCACACTGACTGGGGCTTTGGACAGTGTGCGATGTGCGGGCGGCACTGTCCCCATTCTGTGTTTGGGATCCAGGCTGTCGGTGGAGGTATCAGCTTTGGGTATTTCTGTTTATGTCAAATATGATGCCAAGGCCGGTCCCCAGGCCCCTTTCCCACTGGTGGGAATGGTCCAGGGAAACCTCTGCCGGGGCTCAGGACAGGGCTGTGTCTCGGCTCAGACTCACCTCAGGGAGCCTCCAGGGCCCATTGCATTTAGAGCTTGTTTTCACTCATGATGGTCCCTGGGGGTCTTGTTCCCCGTGCACAGACCAGACTAGCAGGGAAGTTAGTTTGTCCCTGTGACTCTAACCCTGACATGGACACTAGAGGAGATGGCTCTGATGGTCTTTGAAGAGTGGTGCTGTCCAAATGCTGTGTTTGGCTCGGGTCCCAGCTAAGACTTCAGTCCTTTTCCATGCGGTTGACTCCTACCCTCTCTGCTTCACCTCCTGGTGTCCTGTCCACAGTGGGCTTCTGTGTTTTCCTGCCTCTCCTCTGGACCCTCAGCTGCATGGGCCCAGGTCCCAGCCTTGGCCACAGCCTCCTGTGAGCATCTCCTCCCACCTCCCAGGGGTGACACAGCTCCCTCTGCTCCTCCTGAGCCTCATTTCCTGGATCCTCAGTCCGCAGCCCCTTGTCCTGATCTAGAGACCCTCCGCTGGGGGCAAGGCTAACACAGGTCCCTTCTTTCTCTCTGGCAGATTCTTCGAAAACCAAGATGAGCCACACTGAAGTTGAGAAGTCCGTGATGGGCATGATCGACCTGTTCCACAGATACACCAAACCCGATGACACCATTGACAAGCCGGGCCTGCTGAAGATGCTGAAGGAGAATTTCCCCACCTTCCTCGCGGCCTGTGTGAGTCGGGTGGCCTCTCAGGGCTGTGTGGGCCCTGGCCTGGCTGAGGACCCTTTGCGGGACCCCGGGGGAGTCTCTGCCGTTCGCTCGTCCTCAGTGTTCTCATCTGCGTGAGGGCCTAGGAGGACGCTCTGTCCTGGCTCATACAGGACGTGGGAGATGCTCACAGTGGCGGAGTGTGTGACGACGCATGGAGCCCGTGGTAGTTATTAGGGGTCCAACAGGAGAGCAAAGAATGGGTCCCTCCCACTTGTCACACTCCGTCCAGGAGGCTGAAGCCCACAGGGGCAGGCCCTGCCTCTAGAAGCCTCCATGAGGGTCTCTGAGATCCAAAGGAAGGTGACAGAAATTCTGTCTCTGATAAAATTTACCGCCTTTCCTTACAATGAGAACGTCATTCGCAGGCCTGATTTAATCTGAGATTAGGATGTACTGAACTGACGACAAAAAGACAGGTCACTGGGTGACAGAGGCTGGGTGAGCAAGGAGGCCCCTGAGCACGGGAGACTCGGGAAGCCGAGCAGCAGACAGAGAGGAGGGTTCGGTGAAGGGTCAGAGTCGCAGTATTTGGAGGCCCTGAGTAGGACTGAGGGGCTGGGGCCCTTGACGGGGGTGGGCGGTGAGGTCTGGGCTGCCACCCGGACCAGCCCACTGCTCCGTTCTGTTCCACGCGGAGCCCACTCAGCACGGCCAGGGCTCCCCGTCATGGAGACATGTGGCCCAGGAATTCCCTCAGGGACCTGCAGGGTGATGCTAGTGCCCCACCCCCCACGTGCCCTCCACTGACCCCCGCCGGCCAAGCCCCTGCGCCCCAGGTGTTCTCTCCCTCTCTGCCTCCTCCCCCTCCTCTTCCACCCACAACACTTTTGAGACTGAATGTGTCTTGTTTCGTGTCCTTTCCCACAGGATAAAAAGGGCAAAGATTACTTGTCCCATATCTTTGAGAAAAAAGACAAGAATATGGATAAGAAGATTGAGTTTTCCGAGTTCCTGTCCTTGTTGGGGGACATAGCCACGGACTACCACAACCAGAGCCACGGGGCACCTCCCTGTTCCGGGGGAAGCCAGTGAGCCCAGCCCAGCCCGGATTCTCCAGAAAACCCTCAAACAATAAAGTGTCTTTTTCTCCCAGATACAGCTTATTTCCTGCTTTTCTTTGGCTACCTATGGTGTTAAAACTGTCACTCGGTGGTGACTGTGATGGTGACCTCTCCACAGGGGAGTCACCCAGGATGTGCCAGGGGTGCCCTCCCTCTGGCCTGCAGCATACCCGAGCCCCTCTCTCAGCAGGGCCTTTGTCCCCACTGCCCCTGCTCCCTGGTGCAGCCCACGCCGGGTCCCAGAGGGGAGCAGCACACAGCATTCTGCTGGGCCAGCCGTGCTGTCCTCCTCAAGCGTGGGTCAGCATCTGGGGAGCGAGGACCTGCAGTGAGCAGGAGCCGAGGTGTGGACACGAGCCTCTCGCCCACTGCTCCTGCCCAGCCTGACCCCGAGGGCATAGGGGAGATGGCACCACTGAAATAGGGGTTCTATGGAGGGTGTTGGGGATCAAGGGCCCTTGTCACTATGAACGGGACACTCAGTAGTGCCCAGAGGGCTGATCGCTTGTTCTGTGTCCTGGGCTTTTGGGCTGTGTCCTGTCCCTGTGCATCTGGTGTGTTTTAGCCTGTGTGGTGTCCTGTTGAGGTGAGAGAGAGCCCCCCTGTCTGCTGAGCTGGTCCTCATAATGGTTTGCTGGATGCTGGGAGCTGGGTGTCGGGGGAACCCCATGTGCGGTGGGTGTTCCAGGTATGAGGAGCTCCAGCTGGTCCTGGAGCCCAGCAACCTCTTGGCCCCAGGTGAGAAGACAGGACGGAAGGAGCAGGGAGGAGCGGGCACTAAGGGGTGAGTGGAGAGCTCATTCTGAGTGTGGTAGTGACAGTTCCCTGTGTCTGTCATGGAAGGGGCTGGCATTACCCTTAGGCTCTTGGAGATCACAAAAGGTGGTGGGAGCTGAGCATTTCCGAACCGAGCAGGGCACGGGGCTGCCTGAGCACACGCTGGCTCTCCCCGCAGAGGGTCTCCCCATGGTGCCAGGAGGCCGCTCAGCACCCCGGTATACCCAGGGCAGCACCCCTCGGTGAGGTTCCGTCACCCAGCTGTGTCACCCCTACCTCCTCAGTCTCCTGTAGCTCCTCAGTCAGGCCGCGTTCTTCAGAAAGGAATCAGGCAACTGTCTCCAAAATCCCCTCTTCCCACCTGCAGGAAGCTCGTAGGGTGAGGTGTCTGTCCACGTGGATGACTCCTCTCTTCGCTCCCTAATACTCAGGTACATTTTTCCTGGTAGAAGGCACAACTGCAGACACTTGAAGGCAGGAGGAGTCTGGACAGAGAGGAGGTTAGAAAGGAGGTCGGTGTGGCTGGAGGCAGCCTGGTGGAGATGGGGAGGGAGGGAGTGGGTTAGGGCCGGGCCTGGGGCAGGGACAACTGTATCAGTGACCTATTGCTGTGTGACAACATTACCACACACTTAGTGACAACCAGCAAGCATTTATTATGTCAGTTTCTTGGACCAGAAATTCAGCAGGGCGCAGCTGAGTACTTCCACGGTGAATCTCAGGACTGGGGCTGTGGTCTCAGCTGAGGCAGGAGCCGAGCCCTTGGGGGTCTTGGCAGGTTCAGCTTGGACTGAAGGCCTCACTCCATGCCTGTTTTTCTCCCTGAGTTCACGTGGGGCTGAGTCCCCAGAGTGAAGGGTCTGGGAGAGAGACAGAGACAGAAAACACAGGTCAGAGTGAGCAAGTACTTTTTAATCCTCATCCAAGGATATTTTTCCATTGATTTTTCAGATAGAGTAAGAGAGAGAGAGACATCAATGTGAGAGAGACACATCAAGAGGCACATTGATTGGTTGCCTCCCACATGACCCCAACTGTGGCTGGGGACCGAACTGCCACCGAGCTACATGCTCTTTTCCAGAATCGAACCTGGGACTCTTTGGTCCGTGGGCCAATGCTCTAACTGCTGAGCCAAACTGGCCAGGGTGGCACTGACTTTTGTAACCAAATCTTGGAAGTGACCTTGGATCACTTTGCCGTCTTCTGTGGAGTGACTAATGGAATCCACACTTAAGGGAAGGTCACACACCCACACTACATGAGGATGTGTCCATCAGGAGGTGAGGATCATGGGGAGCCACTGAGTGGAGAAGTGGGAGGTGCTGAAAGGTCCATGTTCTGCCCAGAATCACAGACTGGTCAGAATGCAGAGCCAGGGATGACCCAGCTCCGTGTCCTCGATGTTGGGGTCCTGCTGCACCCAGGCCTTCTCAGGGGCTCCGGAAAAGGCTGTGCCGGTGTAACCACTACAGACAGAGATGGCACAGGGGAGAGGGTGAGCACTTGGCAGCCTCGAAGGGCATTTGGCCAGTCCTTGTCTGAGGAGGAGCCTGTGTCCGTGGGCACCCTGTCCACCGCTCCCAGCCCTCTGGCAGCTCAGTGGTCACTTCTGTGAAGCCGTCTCAGGGCAGAGCCATCGCCACCGATGTCCTTGCACCTGCCAGTCAAAGCCCAGGCCACACACAGGATTTGTTGTCACGGGCGCCCCTGGGGGGCAGGTAGGAAATCAGGGCAGGGCTCCCTACTGGTCAGTTAGGGTTGCGGTGGCTGCTGCACCCCTGGCCTCAGAAGGCAGTCCGCGGAGGGGAGAAGGCAGGAGGGTTCCAGGACATCCACTAGAGGGTGTCAGGGCAAAAGGACAAGACCTCCGGAGGCGAGGCCAACCCCAGCAGCCTCTCCAGAGCCAGAGCAGGCTCCGGGCACAGCTGGCTCGGGACCTCAAGGGCAGAACGGCTGCCCGCGCTCCTGCGGGCCTGTGGACCAGGCCGGAGCTGCGTGGGCGCCGCGGCGGGGGAGGGCGCCCCGGCAGAGAGGGCGCCCCGTGGAGGTGCCGCTTTCATCTTACATATACTTAGCATTTTACTGACGTTTTTGTAATATTCAGTTAAAATAAAATGTATTTTAAATAAAATCCAATAAAATGTTAATACAGTTCCATTTAAATAAAATATAATTTAAGTCTATGATTCTTCCAAATGTACATGCCAGCAGCATTAAGGACGTTCCCAATTCTTTACAACCATCACACCACATCACGACCCCTCTCTAGTTCCAGAACATTCTCAAGTGGTTGTGGGAGGTGTTGCAGCTGCAGTTAACTGGCTGGGGGGTGGGGGAAAGGGGTTGGCAGCGAACAGCTGTGGCCCAGGCGGGGTGGGGGGGGGGGTGGATTCATTTCTATCGTTTCCTCAGCATGTAGCACATAGGGCAGCACTTGGAAACCGTGTCAGTATTAAAAAGAGTCGATCTTCAGTTCTATGAACCCCAAGTGATTTAAATGGCTATTAGCAACGGATTAGTAAAACAAATGTTGACATATGCAAATAAATGATCACTATGCACTCATTAAAAGTCAGGCTAGCATTGATTTAGTACGTGAGTAGATCTCCGCAGCGTAGTATTAATTAAAGACTAGTTACAACACAGTTGTGAAAGGAGATAGATCATCGTCATGTCTTGGGATGGTGTGTGGGGATCGTTTTTGTCCCAGATTAAAAAAAAAAAAAAAAAAAAAGGCAGGATGAAGGGTGCAATATGACCCACTCCCCCAACAAGCTATGCATCAAAATTGGAATTTTTTTTGAGTGACAGATTATTATCTAGCAATTGTCTGAGGTTATATTGGCATACCAAATTCCTTAACTAAGTAGTTTCTAGGTTTTTATTTCTATTATTTGGCTATGTATACTGCTGTGGTAGACATTTACTTATTTATTATCTTTTCACCAGATTTACTGCTGTTTAATTGCTTTCTTGGGATAATTTCCCAGGGGAATGACGGCTGACTCTAAGGTGTTCAAGTCCACGGCCATACCACCCTGAAGGCACTGGTCTTGTCAATACATTCTCTGTGATTCTAGCTTGGCTGTGCCAAGTTGTTTTACCTTTCAGAAACTTGAGCCATTTTTTTTAGTGTACTGATAAACCACTTATTCACTGAGGAAATCATTATGTTGGTTAGATAAAGGCTCACCCTGTAAACTAGGCAAAGTTTGGCTTCCGTATTTACCTATTTCTTGCAAACCTTTGGGGATGTGGAGACAATCTCTGGTTCCATAACCTGTCCTTTGGCGCCCCCTTCTGGGGGAGTTACTCACCTGCCTTGTGGCCCCTCCCGAGAGAGATGCCGGGAAGAGGCGGAAGGAGCAGGCTAACAGAAAGCTGGAGATGGGGGAAGGCAGTTCACCTGCCACTCAGAGGCCGAGGTGGTACCTGTATGGAGGCCAAGCCTACACACTTGGCTTCTTTTAGAGTAGGGTCACTTCCACGGGGCAGTCGATTTTTCCTCATACTAAAGCTGTTCCTACGACTTGCCTCTCACCTCCCACCCATCACCCAAACCATTCAAAATCCTGTGCTAGGAGAAAGTTGCAGCGCTAGCTCGGCACACGGGACCCTTTGCATTTGTCTCCACCCTCCTCTCCAGCCCATTTCTCCTGGCCTCCTCAGCCCCGTGGGCACCTTCCCCCTGGCAGGCCACCCACTTTCATACCACCCAGCCTTTGACCACGCTGCTCCCTGCCTGGAGTGCTGGTCCTCCATGCTTCTCCCTGCAACCACAGCTTTTCTTCAAGACCCCCCTAAAACGCTGCCCTGAGGAAGTCTTCCTCAGCTCTCCAGGCAGGATTCCTCCCTGGGTGCCCCGGGCACCCTGTTCGTGCCACTAAGTAGTGTTCACAGTGTGTGACTGTCCCCTCTGCTCGTCCCCACCCTGTGAGCTGGCCGCGTGTCTTACTCATATTGCCTGCAGAGTCCTGGCAGACTGTAGGTCCTCAAAACATATTTGTCGCCCTGGTAGATTTGGCTCAGAGGTTAGAATGTCAGCCTACGGATCAAAGATTCGTGGGTTTGATTCCCAGTCAAGGGCACAGACTTTGGTTGCGGTTTGGTCCCCGACCCTGGGCAGAGTCGTGCAGGAGGCAACCAGTCGATGTGTCTCTCTCACATTGATATTTCTCTCTCTCTCTCCCTCTCTCTCTCTCTCCTCCCTCCCACTCCATCTGAAGATAAATGGGAAAATATCCTCAGGTGAGGATTATAAAAAAAATTTAAAGACGTATTTGTTTGATGAATGGATTTGGGGGTTCACTCACTGGGGGAGGATATCCAAGGATGATGTTGAAGTTGTTTGTCTGACCCCACCCAGGCCCCGGAGCCAGGAGGATGAGCTGGGAGGCAGGGAGACGGAGAACCTGTGACCTTGTGTGGATCTGGGGTGCTTCCGATCAGGCTCTGAGGGAAGGTGGGTCCCTGACACCGGAAGAGTTAATTTTAGGAAGCAGGTGCCATGTGATGTCATCTCAGGAATGCAGTTAAGGTTCAGTTGTGCTGCGGAGGGACCCGTGAGGAGCTGCCATAATTGGAGGCACCGAGGATGGGCAGGATGTGGGACTTGGTGGCCGGGACCTGCTCACACCCTGCCTCCTGCCTGCGTGCTGGGGAGGCTCTGGGCTGACCCAGAGGCCAGGATTGCATCGGGAGTGGCCCTTGCCAACAGCAGCAGGTCAGCACCTCTTCCAAGAGCGTTGTGAGGGTGGGCGGGCTGTGTCGGGTCTGTGCAGAGCCACGAAAGCAGAGGTGGGCTGCTCACCTGTCTTGGAGAGTGTGTGCAGTGTAGATGGATGTCCCAACAGCTGGCTGTGGCCCAAAGGGATTTAGAGCCCAAATTAAAAGCACATCTTTGGGGTCATTTCCAAAGACATTGGTCTGAATCCGGGTCCACATGGATCAGCTGTGTGATCCTGGGGAATTTACTTAACCTCTCTGGGTTTCATTTCCTCCTCAGGAAAGTGAGGGTAATGACGCCTTCCTCCTGTCATTGATCACACGGGATACTGTGTGTAAAGGGCTTCGCCCAGCGCCTGGCGGTTCCACAGTGGTGGGAACAGCAGTTGTCGTGAGACTCTGCACAGGATGCTACCCTGACAGTCCTGCCCCTGAAAATGGGGACCTCATCTCCACAGCAGGTGGGGAGCGGGGGTCGCTCATCAGTCCTTCACGGCTGGCAGAGCGCCGGGATGGTGTTGCGGGGTGACCCGGAGAGGCGCTGGGTGCCCCTGCTGCCCCAGCTCTGGCCAACACAGCGCACAGGGCCAGGAGGGCCGGGAAGCCGGCTCGGGGACCCCTTTGGAGGCTCGCGCGGAAATCCCTGTGCCGTCTGCGGGGTTAGCCGGGCCGGGAAACCACATCACAGGCTCTGGGCGGTATCATTATTATAATAAATCAACCATTTAATAAAATAGTCTATGGTAGTGGGAATCTTGCCTTCTCAAGGGGTTTAACTTTTTTCCCCTCATTGGAAACACTGTCTTGCTTTGAAGAATCTAGTTTCTATTCATTCTTGACTTCTGGTGACTGCTAAGCTGAGGGCAGGGTTGGTGGGGGGCACACAGCCCCTGCCCTCAGAAGCCCCTAGTTTCAGGGAAGGGACAGGGAAGGGACGGAGACCTGTCTTGAGAGTTCACAGCAAAGCCTCTAGCAGGGCAAGGATGCGGAGTGAATTTTGCAGGGACCACAGGGGGTGCAGGGAGGGGCCCCGAGACAAGGTGGGTAGACAAGAAGCGGCAGAAGATGCTTGGAGGAAGGGCCCCTGCCGGGGGCTGGCCCAGAGGGGGTGCTGCTCTCTTCTCCCAGATTCTCCTCGGCCCCCAGCTGCTGCATCTCCACATCTCCAGAGTTGGCTCCTGTCCCTCTGCCAGCAGAGGCCCGGCTGCCATGTCGAACACGCCGGTGGAGGAGTCCCTCCTCCAAATCATCCGCAGCTACCACCAGTACGCGGCCCGCGGAGGGGACGCGGAGACCCTGACCCTGGAGCAGCTGAAGGCCCTGCTCCTGGACAGTGTGCCCCGCTTCATGGAGAGCCTGGTGCGTGGGGCCCGGGTCAGGTGGGGTGCAGGCGAGGGTGGCTTTGGGGTTCGAGCGAGGGCTCGGGTCCTGGGAGCCATCTCCCGGGAGCATGTAAACGTAGGGGAGGGGAGTGCCGAGACCGATGGTGGCCAGAGGGGGCTGGGCCTTGGCCAGCTTTGTCTCCGGAGTTTCCCTGCCTGGCGCCGCTGCAGCCCAGGCATCCTCGTCCCTGAACTGCATCCTGACCCCAAGCCTCTGTTGCTCTGCTTGTTTCGCTTCCTGTGAGAACAGGTCCGAAACCTTCCCTCTGCCTGTGGGCCTTTTAGTCATCGAAACTGCCCCCGCCTGCCCTTTGAACCCAGCCCCTTCTCCTGGTGTCCAGCACCCGCCTCCTGCCCCCACCCCTATGCTTGGGGGGACAGTTGTGTTAAGGGAACCCGGGAGGGAGTAGGTATGGGCAGGGTAGTAAAGGTAGCTTCCTGTCCCCATTTTGTCCCCAGGCTGACAGTCTCAGACCAGCCTGGGGGCCCAGGCTAGGATCTAGGCGGCCCGGACACCCTGCTCAGGTCTGCAATTCCCCTCGGCCATCGGTCCAGCCGCGTGATCGCGGGCTCCCTGGGGACGGCAAATCCAGCCGTTGTCTGCCCTGGGTGCCACGCCCGGGGCTCTCTGGACAGTCGACTGCAGGGGACTGCAGGGCCCTGACTCAGGCCTTTGCATTCGGGGAGAAACACCCCAGGGTCCCGCCTGTCTCCCGTGCCTACACGTGGGGAACATCAGAAGAGTCTCGCCCTGGGTTTGTTGGAGTGCAGGCACAGGGGGCCCTGAGGGGAACTGGGGTCATTGCGATTGGCCCCCTGTTTCCAGGGACCTTTTCCCTTCCAGGGCCACTTGCCTATATCATGGGGCTGTGTACGGACTGCCAGGCCCTGCCACTCGCCTGGGTATGGGGCCCCCCGGGGCAGACACCTGGGCACACCTGGGCCAGGTGGCTGAGTGAGGGAAGCCTGGAAGAGTCTGCCCAGGGCCGGACGCCTCCAGGTTCTCGGTCAGCCAGCTCTGTGGAGGAGTCGGTTACATGAAGACAGAGGGTGTCGATTTGCCCCCAGGGCTGGGGCTGCCCTCCAGGCCCACAGGCTTACAGTTACAAGGACTTCCTTCCCCAGGCTTTTTGAGGTTCTGCACACTGGGCCCCACCTCAGTCCAGGCCCGCTGACGCCTGCTCCCCTGCCCTTGCTGCGGGCTCACCTCGTCTCCGCCTGTCCTGTCTCCTCCACGCACGCTGACAGCTGACTCCCTTCCTGCTGTGCCTTCCGCCTCAAATGCCCCCCCATGCCACCCCCAGTCCTTAGCCCTCAGGGCCACCTGCTCTGGGACATCCAGACAGTTCCAGGGCCGTGGCATGGGCCTTTCCCTCATTCTGCGCTTTCCTTAGGACACAGGTCAATTGTCATAAACACTTCTGGGCAGGTGGCACACCATGCAGAAATCTGACACCGCTGGGTGCTCAGGGGCAGGTGGGCTCTGCCTTGGGCAGCTCCCTGTGTGAAGACCCCAGGCTGGGCTGTCCGTGCAGCCGAGCTTCTAGTTCAGCTGGAGAGAGACTTACAAAGCCACCAGCAGAGGGCGGGGTGCCAGCCCTGCTCAGGTTCTGGAGCCCTCAGCCAGCCAGCAAGCAGTGACCCGCCTGCACAGCTGTCTGCAGCCCAGGCCCAGGTGCCCGGCACCCCTCTGCCGCTTCTGCCTGATTCTGCAGCCCACGGTCCTGGCCCTGAGTGAGTGAGGAGCTGTTTCCTGCCAGCCCTGGAGGCGGCCCACCCTCAGCTCCAGCGGGAGGCAGACAGCCTCACATCTGCTCAGGGCCCAGGGCCCAGTGCCCGGGTGCTGGCTGACCCTCTGCCCACTCCCCAGGGCCGGAAGGAGCCGTACTTCCTCACCGAGCTGTTCCGGGCAGCGGACAAGGACAAGGACAACCAGATCAGCTTTGACGAGTTCCTGTACATCCTGGGCAGGCTGCTGAGGGACTACCACCTGCAGTACCACCGGCGGCTGTGCGCCCACTACTGCAGCCAGCACAGCCTCTACTAGGGGGCGCCCAGCGGCCTCCCACAGGGCCCCGCCCGCCGAGGACACGGGACAGCTGTCTGTGTGCCCGCTCTGTGTGCCCACGCGTTTGCCGTGTGTGCGAAGGACACCAGAGGGAGAGAATAAAGCTACTTCACAGCTGTTTCTGGTGTTGCTCTGTTCATGGTTAGGGTGTCAGCAATGGGTCCAGGAGGATCCCCAAGTAAGGGATCATCTTTTTGGGTGAGAGACAGAGCCCCTGCCCCCAGGAGCCCCATCTGAGGGGGAGACACAGCCCCTGCCCCCAGGAGCCCCATCTGAGGGGAGACACGGCCCCTGCCCCCAGGAGCCCCATCTGAGGGGGCAACACGGCCCCTGCCCCCAGGAACCCCATCTGAGGGGGAGACACGGCCCCTGCCCCCAGGAGCCCCATCTGAGGGGAGACACGGCTCCTGCCCCCAGGAGCACCATCTGAGGGGAGACACGGCCCCTGCCCCCAGGAGCCCCATCTGAGGGGAGACATGGCCCCTGCCCCCAGGAGCACCATCTGAGGGGAGACACGGCCCCTGCCCCCAGGAGCACCATCTGAGGGGAGACACGGCCCCTGCCCCCAGGAGCCCCATCTAAGGGGGAGACACGGCCCCTGCCCCCAGGAGCCCCATCTGAGGGGAGACACGGCCCCTGCCCCCAGGAGCCCCATCTGAGGGGAGACAGCCTCTGCTTTCAGCCTTCTGTCTGGGGGGAGTCTTCTCTCTTGGGGAGCTGACCCTCTGCATGATGTTTTGATCCCTCGTCACTGCACATACACAAAGGGACGGGGCAGCAGGGCAGAGACACACTCGACGTGGACCCTGGTTTGGAAGGTCTGTCTCGGGACGAGAGCCCTTAGGAACTAGTGGACAGAGGCCGAGCGCCTGGGCCAGTGATGCTGGAATTGACGTGGGGGGGGTGGTGTCAGGGAGGGTAGACTGTGCGGTGGGTGCAGGCTGAGTCAGAGACAGGACAAGGGTGAAGCCAACAGGCCGGCCTGCTGGGGGAGGATGAGAGGGACTTGAGTGACTGTCAGGGAAGACTTCCTGGAGGGAAGAAGGGCTGGCCTGGCTTTACCAATGAGAAATGACGATAGACGTGGGTGTTCTTCCGACTTAGGGCTGCTCATGACTCACGGGCCCGAGCCCTCTCCTGGGCCCTGACCCCTCCCAGCTGAGACCTGCCCTGCCCTGTGTCTGTGTTGACTACCCCCCCTTTCCCCCCCAGCTCGGGAATCTGATGCAGACTCTCTCTGGGAGGGTCTCCTCTGCCACAGGCCCTGCTAGGGCTCATCCTGGTGGGCTCCTTCCTGAGACTCACCTGGGAACTTAATGTGGTGGAAACAATGAGTTTTAAAAGAACGATGCCCTCCGCCCGCCGTGCAAATACCTGCGGGGGGTCCTTTAAGAGACCTGGTTGGCTCTCTCCCCGCTGGGTCTGCTGGGTCGCATGCCACAGGACAGCGGCACCTGCGGCTGAGCGGGGCCTTCTTCTCCCATCAGTCAGGCTCTGAGGGGACTCTGCCTTGCTGTTTCCTATGGGACCCCATTGCCATCTCTTTCGCCCTTGCCCGTCTGCCAACACTTGCCTTTTGGGACTCAGCTGGCCCCCGCCCGTTTCCCTCTGGACCTCCCTGCCCTTCTAGGGGCCTGAACTCCCCTGTGGGTGCGTGTCCTGCTGCACCGTGGTGGGGTGCTGTCCTGTCTTCCACCAAGCCAGGGACCGTGTCTGGTCACCTCCGGGACTCCCCATGGGGCCCAGTGTCAGCACACAGTGGGTGGTCAAGCGTGTTGGAGGAAGGAATCCAGGAACCTGAATGGAGCCCCCTTGGGCCTTTTCCTCATATCCAAAGATCTGGGCCACCCTTCCCCGGGCACAAGAGAGGAATCTTCCTGAGGCCTTTCGGTGGTAATGGGCATCTCAGCCCAGCCCTCCGCTCTTCCTCCTGCCCCTTCCTGGGGGGTTCTGCAGAGCCCGGCCTGCATGGTCCTGGTTTCGTCAGCCTCGCCGGGCCTCTCGGGTCTATTGGGACACACACAGGAGCGCTTTCCTGTAAACAGGGCCAGGTTCCGCTCCCCTAGGTTGCCCCACGTCCCAAAGTCTGATTACAGGGTCTGCCCTTCCCCTGACATGTTTACCCAACTCCTGACACCCTCTTCTACCAGGGCAGCTCAGCCTGGCTCCCACTCTCCCTGAACCCCAAGGCTGTCCGTCTGCCTGTCTGTCTGGAGGAGCATCTCTGGGGGGACAGTTCGTGGCCTTGCTGGTCGGCATGCTCCCCTGACGAGCACACGATCCTGGGAGGGGGTCAGGGGTCGTGTCTGCCTTCAGCCTCCGGCACTGGATCTGGAGACTGTTTTCCCTACTCTCTGGATGAAGAAGCTGTCCCACAAGGACCATTCTCAGGGGGTGGCTTCAGAAAAGACATCTCCTGAAGGTCAGGGTCTAGAAAGGTATCTTCTCCATCAGCCTCGCCATCACCCCAGAGAGAGCTCAGCATGAGCTCCACCCCGGGCCGGTGAGCAAATGCGAAAGAGAAGCTCAGAGAAGCCAGCGTGCTTGTTCTAATGTCTGCTCTTTGCACCTGAGCACCCGAACAGAGCAGAACACCTGCCCATAAGAAGGAGCTTGAGTAACTCCCTGTGCCTCAGTTTCCTCATCTGTCACAGAGGGGTAGCTGTACCTGTAACACCCACTTTGCAAGGTTATCAGGTGAGCTACTGGACTAAAAATAGGACGTGCCATGTGGGGTAAGGTGCTATCATGCAGGTCGTGCAGGAGAGGACCTGGTGCATAAAAGCTGTGCACTGAGTGCTTGACCCTTGGTCGAGAATGTGTCATATGTCAGAAAGAGTCCTATTTTCCTGTGAGGAGGTTGACTGACCTCCTGCCCAGGAACTTAGACTGGATTTATATCCTGACTGTTTTAAAAATGATTTAAGGTGGCTGGGTGTGATAGAGGGGATTTCTGCATTGGGTAAGGGATAGGTCAAGTGTTCAATTCGCATTCATTTAGACCCCCAGTGAGTATTAACTGAACACCTAGTATGTACCAGGCCCTGGGATTGTGATGTGGTTTCTGCTCTAAAGGGGCCCCTGGTCTCAAAGAAAAGACAGACAATAAACAGATGAATCAGTGTCGCAAATCTGTGATGCAGAGGGATTTGGGTAGCTCAGAGGAGAGAAGAATGAACTCTGTGTCAACAGGGGTGGGGAAGGAGCTCAGGGGTGCACAGGGGTGGCCAGCAGGTGGAGCCTGGGCTGGATCAGGAGGACTCGGCTGGCAAAGAGGCATTCCAGACAGGGGTAGAAAGTAGATGATGTCACAAGATGTCATAAGTCAACTAAATCATTTGAAGCACTGAACCTTGTGTCTCTCTGTGGGCCTCAGTTTCCCCATCTGATAGCACAGACCTCATAGGATTATTGCGAGAATTAAATGGGCCACCTCCTGCATGTCCCCCATTGGGGATCAGGCCCACAACCTGGGCATGTGCCGTGACCGGGAATCGAACTGGTGACCTCTTGGTTCATGGGTCAGTGCGCAACCACTGAGCCACACCAGCTGGATTGAAACCCTGTTTTCACTTATTTTGGGTATGAACCCAGAAATGGAATTGCTGGATCATATGATAATTCTGTTTTTAATTTTTAAATATGTTTTTATTGATTTTAGAGAGAGAGGAAGAGAGAGGGAAAGAGAGGGACAGAGAAACATTGAGGTGAGAGAGAAACATAAACCGGTTGCCTCCTATGCGCACCCTGACCAGGGCTGGGACCTCCAACCCGGGCCTGTGCCCTGACCGGAAATCGAACCGGTGACCTTTGGTGCATGGGATGGTGGCCTGGGCGTGTTTTTAATTTTTTGAGGAACCGCCATGCTATTTTCCACAGTGACTGCATCATTTCACATTCCCACCAGCACTGGATATTAACTCCTGTCAGATACAGGATTTGTCAATATCTTTTCCTGTTATGGTCTGCTTAAAGGTAGACTCTATTTTTAATCTCTTAATACTTGAGATACCGAAGTCACAAAGAGGTAAGCAGTTGGCCAGAGGCTCCACAGCAAGGAAGTTGCTGATATAATGAAGCCCAAGGCTAATCCCATCTGCTTCCCCCAGGAGGCAGTGACGGCCTGAGCCTCGAAGCGCAGGGCAGACACCTGTCGAGTGCGTGAAGGAAGGAGAGGGGAGCGGGGTTTTCCCAGCAGAGTCATATTCTTGTCAGGTCAGGCTCCGGGATCTGGTCTGGCCGCTGACATGTCATTATCCTGGGAAACTCTGGGTGAACCGCTTCACCGTCCTGCCCTCAGCTTCCTGGTCCGCGCTGGGTGGGTTCTGTGCCCCGCCTTCCTGACAGGCATGTTCTGAGGCTCTAAATAGATTAGATGGATGTGACTGCTTTGTAGCAAGAGAAATATGTGTGACAAATCTGAGCACTGGAGGTCAGTTCACCTGAGTGGCATTTTGTTGGGTTCGGGAGCGGCTTGTTCCTCCTGAAGTCCCGGGCAGCGGGCCACCTGCTCTCCTCTTGGACAGGAAGCACGTCTAGCTTCTTCGAAGGACCCCATCCCACCCTCAGAGAGGGCTCCTCGTCAGCCCAGGCTCCTGGGGTCAGAGGCGCACCGCCATCCGAGGGGACTGAAGGGTCCCTAGGGTGCTCATGCAGAGGTTCAGAGCCCCCTGCACGCAGAGGGACCCCAAGTCAACCTTTGCCTCCCCGGCACAGTGTACCCCAGCTTCACAGGGCAAGGGGGTGGGGTGTGAGCAGCAGAAGAGAAACTGATGGGCCCTTAGCAACACGTCCCTGCAAGTCCAACCACTCACAAAACAACAAACAATAATGGAATTACTGCACCTTTCACCACTAAAATCCAACAGCAGGACAAGTGTTCTTTTTTTATTATTGTTGTTGTTAAAAGTATTACAGATGTCCTTTTTTCCCGACTGACCCCTCCCTCCCGCTTCCACTCCCTCCTGCCTTCCCCAGCCTAGTGTCCATGTCGATTGGTTGCGCATATGTGCATGTACGTTCTTCGGTGTCTCTCTTCCCTCCCTGCCCCCCTCCCATCCCTCTAAGCCTTAGAGTCTAAGGTTTGTCAGTCTGTTCTCTACTTGCATGATTCTGCGTCTCTTTTAGTCGACAGCTTATTTTATTCATTATGGTCCATAAACAAGTGAGATAATGTGGTACTTCTCTTTCTCTGAGTGACTTATTTCACTTAGTATAATACTCTCCAGGTCCCTCCATGTCGTCTCAAAGGGTAAGAGATCTCTGTTTCTTATAGCTGCATAGTACTCCATTGTGTACATGTACCACAGCTTTTTTTTATCCACTCCTTTATTGATGGACACTTGGACTGTTTCCAGATCTTAGCTAGTGTAAATAGTGCTGCTATGAACATAGGGGTGCATATCTTCTTCCTGATTAGTGTTTCAGGTTTCTTAGGATATATTCCTAGAAGTGGGATCACTGGGTCAAATGGCAGTTTCATTTTCAATTTTTTGAGGAAACACCATATTGTTTTCCGCAGTGGCTGCACCAGTCTGCATTCCCACCAGCAGTGTGCAGGACAAGTGTTCTTAACCTTTAACGGGTCTTTGGACCCTCTTGAGAATCTGATGAAAGCCACGAAGGAATGTACTTATGTGAACACTCAAAGTGGTGGATCCTGCCCGGCCGGTGTGGCTCAGTGGTTGACCATCAACCCATGTCGCCGGTTTGATTCCCAGTCAGGACACATGCCCAGGTTGTGGGCCCGATCCCCAGGGGGAGGCATGCAGAAGGCAGCCAATCAATGTTCTCTCTCATCAATATTTCCATCTTCTCTGCCTCTCCCTTCTTTTCTCTCTCTAATATCAAAAAAAAAAAATTTGATGCAGCCCTGGCCGGTTTGGTTCAGCGGTTAGAGCGCCAACCTGCGGTCCTGAGAGACCCGGGTTCGGTGTCCGCTAAGGGCATGTACCTTGGTTGCAGTTTGTCCCCAGCTCTGGTCGGTCGTGCGGGTGGCAGCCACTCGATGTGTCCCTTCACATCGATGTTTCTCTCTCTCTCTCTGTTCCTCTCTCTCCCTCCCACTTTACCTGAACAAAAAATGGAAAAATGTCCTCGGGTGAGGATAAAAAAAAAAAAAAAACTGATGCATTCACTTCAGTTCCATTCAGAGATGCACAGACGACCACATGTATGAGATTAGCAACTGCAACAGAAGGGGTGTCCTGGGCACCAAGCTGGGGGAGGCCAGCAGCCCGGAGAAGGAGTTCTCACTATGGCCTCTTCCTGTTTTCTCCTGCAGGGCACTACTGCCCGGAAAAAGCCTTCCTCCCCTCACTCCCATCAGAAATATTCATTCTGCTGTGATTGCCCCATTCACCTGGTTAGGAAACCTGAGGCTGTAGCAATGCTGGGAGGGAGCAGCTGCCTCTGAGTGGCCTGAGGCCTGGGCAGCCGGCCAAGCCCAGCCACTATAAAAGGGAGCGCCACTCAGCCCCAACATCCTGTGAACTCTGTCAACTGTCAGCACGGTTTCAGGAAGACCTGGTAAGTGTGTCTGCCCGGGTCTGCCCTGCACTCTGGGCTTCCCCAGGGGCGCTGGGGAGCGCAGCAGCCTCCGAGGGAGGGGAGAGGAAGCTCATCGAGGTCTGGACCTAGATCTGGACCCCCTGGGGAGGAGACTGAGGCAGGACAAAAGAGTGCCAGTCCTCTAGCCCTTTTGGGTGAGGGCACATTCATTTCCTAAGCTGGGCTTTTCTTGGGTAGAGGGTGAGGGCATGAAGAGATTGCCAGGCACTGTGTGCGTGTGTGCGTGTGTGTGTGCGTGCGTGTGTGCACGCGCCTCCCTCTCCCACACTCCTATCCGGATCATTCCATTTCCTCTCATCTTAGCTGTAGCTGTCCTCTGGGTTTAGTTATTCGGATGGTGCCAAGACAAAGCCATGACTTGGGTTAGGTAGGACCCTTCTGAGTGTCCCCTTAGTCTTCACTCAGCCGTGGGCAGAGGCACCACGCCACACGTGCTCCCCGTTCCAGGTGGGCAAATCCTTGGGCATCATGCTGACGGAACTGGAGAGCGCCCTGAACAACTTCATCGACATCTACCACAAGTACTCCCAGGACAGAGGAAATGTCCACGCCCTCTACAGGGACGAACTGAAGAGATTGCTGGAGGCCGAGTGTCCTCAGTACATAAAGGTGAGGAGGGCTGGTTGTGGTCTGGTTCTCTGCCTGGCTCTGAGGATGCCCCGGGGCCGGCGGTCCCCCTCCTGCCCCAGGTAAATGGCCATTCTTCACTCTTCCTGAGATTTTTACACTCTGCTTCTCTCTTCAATTTTGACAGAAAAAGGATGCAGACACCTGGTTCAAAGAGTTGGATATCAATAAAGATAATGCGATCAACTTCGAGGAATTCCTGGTACTGGTGATAAAAGTGGGCGTGGCTTCCCATGAAGACTTCCACAAGGAGTAGCAGGGCTGCTGGGCCTGGGGCTGGGCCCCTGGACTGGTCCCTGAACAATAATAAACTGGTTGATACCTCTTAGTCTCTTGCTTTCCTCTTGTGGAATGAGGTGCCGGGGGGGGGGTGTGGAGGGAGGGCTGTAAAACCCACAGGAAAAAACCAAACCTCTGTTGTCCCCCACTCCCTATGTCTCATGAACTGTCAGTTTTTACACTTGACCAGTTTCCTCTCTGCGTCCCCCTAAACTATTTATGAGTCTCTTCTAGCCCCAGCCCCGAGTCACTGGTTGTAGGATTTAAGGATTCTAAAAAGTCCATAATCATCTTCCAAATGGGTGATGTGAGGAAAACTACCGCTCTCTACACTGAATTTTAATTTCCAGCTAAAATGTCTTAGATGAGACTCTTGGGAAATGAGGGAGATGACTGTAGAAGTGTGTGTGGTGTGACAGGGGCTGGGGTGGGGGGAGGGCGGCGGTGTTTAGAACCTCACAGTAGCCAACACTAATAACGCTTGGCCCAGATTTTGGAAGCTTTCCTTTTCTCTTGACTTCTAATCTCCCAACTCAATTAAAAAATAAAAGAATAGGCAGATAGGCCAGTATGTTAATAAAACTCAACTCAAAGAACAGGTGAGTCAGTGCTGCCTGTGCGGAGAATCCCTCGTGATCAATGACACACCGAAGGGCCTGTTGAAGGGCCGAGCTGAGTTTCCGATTGTGCCTTGGGAAATGTTCTGTTGTCCCCCCTTGGGTGATGAGGCAGTGGTGCTGGTGATAAAGAAGGGGGCAGGGAACTGTCACCAGAATCTGAACCAGGGTTTTGTTTTGTTTTGTTTTGTTTTCTATCCTCACCCGAGGACATTCTTCCATTTTTTTGTTCAGGTAGAGTGGGAGGGAGAGAGAGGAACAGAGAGAGAGAGAAACATCGATGTGAAAGGGACACATCGAGTGACTGCCACCCGCACAACCGACCAGGGCCGGGGACAAACTGCAACCGAGGTACGCGCCCTTAGCGGGAACCGAACCCGTGTCTCTCAGGACCGCAGGCCGACGCTCTAACCGCTGAGCCAAACCGGCCAGGGTTAAACCAGGGTTTTTAACTTGGTTGATTATGCACCTCTGAATGGAACTGAAGTGGACCTATCATTCTGAGTGTTTGCATAAGTACATTCCTCCGTGGCTTCCATCAGATTCTCGAGGGTCCAAAGACCCCTAAGAGGTTAAGAACACTTGTCCTGCTCCTGGACTCTAGTAATGAGAGGTGCAAAAATTTATTATTGTTTGTTGTTTTGTGGGTAGTTGGACTTTGCAGGGACATGTTGCTAAGGGCCCGTCAGTTTCTCTCCTGCTGCTCACACCCCACCCCCTTGCCCTGTGAAGCTGGGGGTGCACTGTGCTGGGCAGGGAAAGGATGGCTTGGGGTCCTTCTGTGTGCAGGAGGCTCTGAACCTCTGCATAAGCACCCTCAGGACCCTTCAGTCCCCTCTGGGATGGCGGGGTGCCTCTGACCCCGGGAGCCTGGGTTGAAGAGGAACCCACTCTGTGGGAAGTGGGGGGTGAGATGTGGGAGGGGGAGATTTACCATGATCAGTTCTGTTTGCCAATGAGTCTGCTGACTCTGAGCCCACTCCGAGGGACGATGGGAAGGTGACCCAGAGTGCCCTTTGGAGTGTCACTGTAAGTGATAAGCACTGGTTGTGAAGAATTGCATTGACCTTGAGCTATCAACACTTGATACCTGAGCTCATGGGTGGGTGGGGAGGTGACCCCACAGGCACTGGCTACCTGGAGACAGAGGTGGACGTGAGGGGGCATCACTGGAAGGTTCAGGGAGGAGGCAGGCTTGGAGACTGTGGTTTACAAACAGCACTGTGCTCATTACAGAAACCGCTGGGCAGAGTCAGACAGAGCAAGCTGATGTGGTTTCCCGTTTCCCCAGCTACAAAAGAAGAACAAGGTGGTGGGAAGTGAAGAAACAAGTTGTTTGGCAGGAAACCTCATGCAACATTTGGGCCATAGAGGAGACCTTGGCTAACCAATTGAGGCAGATCCGGCCGCTGAGATTTCCGGGACCTGTAAGGATGAGTTGTCTGAACTCCTGCTTCTTCACCTGGGTCTCCACCGCAGGCTCCTGACTTCACCCAGCTTCCTCAGGGCTGGAACAAAGATCCTAGCCCTGGCCAGTTTGGCTCAGCGGGTGAGCGTCGGCCTGTGGACCAGAGAGTCCCGGGTTTGGTTCCTGCTAGGGGCACGTACCACAAAAAACAAAACAAAACAAAGATCCTAAAGCCATGGAGAGCATCTGGAATTGGGCAATTGGTGTCCAGATGCTGAATGAATGAGCTTATTCCCTTGGAAAGGACTTGCCCATACATTCCTCCACCTGGGGCCAGAACCATGCTGTTGGGGTTCAGACACCAGCCTATCTGCTGGCCTCCTGACCTGGGGGATTCAGCCTAAATTCATATGGGCTGAAGAGGGGAGAGAAGGCTACCAGTACTTACTGGGCTCCTGCTGGGTGTCAGTGTGAAGGGAACGGACAATCTCAAACCTGGAAAAAGACACAATGGTGATCGCTTACATTTTTGACCTCATGCTACAGTCCGCCTGACTAGAAGCAAATCCCGCTACTTGTTAATCTTCCATCATTTGACACTTTGGGGAAATGTCAACAGTCGGCACAGTACATTTGACTAACGAGTCCCAATGAATAAAATCAGTTTATCTGCCTGGTGGAATACTATGATTATCAGTAGCCTGGTAGAGATGGTTAATCCCTGTTAGGTTTTTTTGTCACTCTGTTTAATGTTAAAAGACTCTTATATCTCACTTAAGAGTCTTGCTTAGACATTCCTTTCCTGGCTGTCTTTATGTATTCTCAAACAGTCTTCAAAACCAGCTTTAAACAACAACAACAAAAAGAAGTGTTTGCTGATTCTCTCATTGATGACTTAAAATAAGAATTTTGACGTGGGCCCACTCTATTTGTTGATAATTTTGCTTCTCAGCACTAGACTTTGTGACAGTTTATCTCATGTATTTTTGTAACAACCCTGAAAGAGATAATTACTGTTTCTGTTTTGTATATGAAGAGATTCAGAGATTAAGAACCTTGATACAATTTACTGATCTGGCAAGTGGCAGAGGGAGGGTCAGATCCCTGACTCTCCAGGTGGAACACCCCAGTTCAGACCAGACACACAAGCCCTCTCCTCTCGCTGGCTTCCATCCTGTGTGCGCGGAGGGCCTGCCCTTCCCCCCTGGCCTCTTGGTCCTTCACCCAAGGGTATAAAACAAAGCACAGCAGGTGCCACAATAAACTTTCCTTGGGCCTCTCTCTGTCCAGGCCTCACCAGGCACAGCTCAGGGCCTGAGCTACTGTGGGTTTTTTCTGGGTGTGAGCAATCCTCTAGACAATAGAACAAGAAGATTGGCATTTGGATTTCCCTAACCACTTAAGTGTTGTTCCAGTAATAATTTCCCCTCCCTTCTGGGCTGGGGATCCTTCCTGTCAGTCTTAGGAGCTGGAGAGGTTTCCATGTAAAGAATTGTCTGACTTGCAAAATTCTGGTTTGAACTGGCTGCTAAGGGCAGGATATAGACCTTTAGCAACTCTTTCAAACGACCAGACCCACTCCTCTTTCAGAGGAGCCTCCCCCTCTTCCTGTTGACTAGGCCTAACTAGCAGCAGAAAGCATGGAGCGACTACAGCCAAAGCCCATCCAGAAGCTCTGCATCAGCTCAGCCCAGCAAGGGCTCCATCCAGCTCAGCTTGTTCAGCATCTGCTTTAACTATAGCACATTTCCCTCCTGTACTTTCTAGAGCAAAATATTTAACCAAAATAGATGCTCTGCATTCCTTTCCTACTTTTGTCCTAGACCTTTCATAAGGTATATCTATGAAGACCTAACTGTAAATATCACACTTAATGAAGACATGATAGACATTTCTCTTTAATAACAGGAAGAAGACAAGGATGCTCCCCTTACCACTTCTATTTAATGTTTGTATTAGAGGCACTAGCTAGTGTAATATGACAAGAACAAATAAATAAGAAGTATTGGGAGCTCTGGAGGCTCTGGCCACATGAAGTAATTGAATACCCTGCAGGGCACTCCCATTTCTGCATGTTATTGCCTCCTTCATTTCTCCCTTGTAAATAACAGCTATTCTTACATATTTTTAAGAAATGTGCCCCAGCCAAATTGGACGTAATTCTTCCTATGAGGCTATTAATGTCATTACTAAAAAACACACTAGCTGGTATCTCTTATTTTCTCTGTGGGCTGCGAGACCTTTTGCATAACCTGCGTCTGGACACCTGGGCTGGCAGCAGGAAAGATGCTGTCATACGCTCAGACTTGGTTGGAGACATCAGCTACGCTGAGTCCCCTCCTCAAGGACAAGAGTCATAAATTTAGAAATTTACAGTCTGAGGTAGGGACCTCAAGAATCATTTCTCATGCACTTCTCTTTTCTGATATCCATTCTGGGTCTCACAGAGAGATAATGTTTCAACAAATTTAAAAATTATTTATTTGCCTTCTTTTTCCTCCAGAATATTCTGCCAGCTGCTCTGTGCTGTCCAAGGATTTGGGGGTATCCAGAAGGACTCCTTTAAGCCCAGTCCATCCCAGCACTGACATCTGATAGTCAACATCCATCTCCATAAGTCAAACTTTTTATTTTTTGGTTAATCCTCACCCGAGGACATTTTTCCATTGATTTTTAAATAGAATGGAAGGGAAGGAGGGAGAGAGAGAGAAACATCAATATGAGAGAGACACATCAATTGGTTGCCTCCTGTGCAACCCCAACCAGAGCTGGGGATCGAACCTTGCTCTTGACTGGGAATTGAACCCAGTACCCTTCAGTCCACGGGCTGACGCTGTAACCTCTGAGCCTAACTGGCCAGAGCTCTATAAGTCAATCTTTGACACAATCACAGCTACTGTCTTGAAGGCAGCTGGCCCCAGGTCAGGGGAATCAACAGATCTGTGGGACGGATGGGAGTCTTCCAAGGAACCCTCAAATGCAATAGGTGTGATTTGGCTAACCAGTTGCGGTCATATGTTTCTG